AATGAAGCATGGATAAACGAAAAACTCTTTTGCCCTTTCAGAAAAGTTCACATGGTTGGCGCTGGGCGATCGTTGCTGTCAGCGCATTGAAAGGCGATGGAGTTGACATTTTAGTGAACAAAAGAACCAGAATTAAGGAGAGCAATTTCCTCACAAGTAGTTCAACAAATATTAGCTTAACCGCGGCCGTTTCATTATAAAAGTTTTTGCCTCGCACTCGACGTGCCCCGCTGGAAAAACCTTTTAGACATTCAATCAAGCCAAGTAACTAATTCACTTCTCTAGCATCATTCATGGATCAGCCGTGATTCATTGATTCGTTCGGTGCGAAACTAGCAAAGAGAAATGAAGCGTATGATCAAGCCTCGCAGAGTCTGAACGCGGTTGAAATCGATGTCTACTGTAAAGCCGAGGTGATCGCGCCAGTTCTGCTGTTTCAATCACAAGGCAAAAGAAGCAATTCATTCAGCCATCATGGAAGAGAACGACTGATAGTAAATTACGACGCTGGCGTCAATGCATCGGCAAACGAGGGTCGGCCATTGGGTTGATCAATGAGAAATAATGACTGGTGGTGACGGCAAAAATCAATGAATTCAAGCATCTCTACCACACATGTCAAACAACTCCATCGCTGGCAAAACGACCGTCGTGAATTAATCACATGCTCGAAACTAGAGACTGTGGCCGGCTGGCCAGAAGCATTACCTCGGCGCTTCGCACCAGGAGAAAAACGCGATAAACGTACAGATATGAAATGAGAGGGCAGAATTTCGTGCTACGACAGAACAAGGATCTACCATTACTGTATTTTGCCTATGCTTTCGCAGTTGAAACCTGCATCTCAACAAAAACGACGCTTGATAGACCGCTCCATGCATCTCAATAACAGGATGATAGCGTAAGAATATAACACAATATGTGATGGAACATATAAACATTTACCTCCATCTGACAGTTTTGCGACACAGACAGAGACAGCGATTCATACCGTATATTGGAACGGTGTCAAGCTTTCTTTTGCAATTTGTCTTGATCCACTACTTAGCTAATTAAATCAGAACTGATGGTAACCGTAGACGGCGTAAGGAAGTAAAGGACTGTTCTCTCTCCTTTGCGTAATGTCATCATAGCGCTAAAGGGGAGAAATGGCGCGACCACATTTGTCATGAAGTATCACGACGCAAACGCTCCTAATGCTGATCGATCATGAATATAAGCGTATAATGTATAGAAAGACAGTGTAAATGATGATAATAGCTGAAACAGGAAATGATAACACTAAGACCCTTGTCTTTGTAAAACATTTAATCGAAACGGTCACCAATGATCATATCAAACAGTGAACAACTGTTTTCTCTTCACACAGGTTCGATTCCGCAATCAGCCACAGCAAGTGAACGACGATGACGATGACCTGGCGCGCCTCGGCTCGAAATCTCCCCAGCTAGCAACAACGATGAACACGCATAACAGCTACATCAGATGATGCAAGTAAATCGAATTAAAATAAAAAACTGCTACACCAGTCAATTGTCGTTGAGATGAACTAATCTGTCATGACTAACGCAGTCGTTCACAAAATAACTACATAATAAACGCCAAGCTATGCACAGAAACAAGTCAACAGTCATTAAACAACAGTGAATTAACGAAATAACAACCAAATCTCAACCGACGCCAGGACTAAATGCTAATCGCGCCCTCGCCCTGTACATGCAACGGGGTCAGATGGTGGTGGTAGTGGTTCAAAAGTTTTGTTTTGCCATGCATGGCATCGTGTGATCGTCGTCGCAACGCGAACTGCTACCACTGTGTCGGTCCTTGAATCGAAGAACACCACAATAAAATGAATGTTGTCACAATAGCCATTGGTCGCGCCGTACAGGCAGCTGCTCGAAGACGAGGCCGTACATCGACCGCTGTTCGCATAACATAACATGACCTCGCT